TTTTGAACATAGTAGTTTAGGAAGGAAAATGCAAATTGTATAGCCACAGTAAATACTGTTACATATCAAAATATTATTGCATAGACTTTTCTGGTTTCTCATAAAACAGTCTTCATACTATATGCTGCTCATAGATTTATTGCAGCACTTCATGTTAAAATTAACAAGGCCACGAGTATGATTTTTTATTTTTTTTCAGATGTAATTTCACACCTCTAAAACAACTGATATAAAAGAGACAGTCTATTAAATATAAGGCTGTCCACCAAAGTCATAAGAACAAAAAGTATGTCTTAATTTTGAAAGAATTGTCTACACTGTTGTCACACAAAGTGAAAAAGGACATCATTCTTATAGTAACTTTTAACACATACCCACTCTGGTTACTATCAACAGCAATGTATTGCGGGGAGCCCCATATTTAAAAGGGCACTCACGTAGTGTTCCAAAGAAACCGACCCAGTATAGCAATAGGTAGGGACATCGGTTTATTAGACTTACAAGAGGTGCTGATGATGGCCAGTCAGCTGGAAATCCGCCCCACCATGGAGTACATACAACAGTTACACAGTGAACAGATCAAAGGAGAGGTGTAAATCATTAAAAGGGCACTCACGTAGTGTTCCAAAGAAACCGACCCAGTATTGCAATAGGTAGGGACATCGGTTTATTAGACTTACAAGAGGTGCTGATGATGGCCAGTCAGCTGGAAATCCGCACCACCATGGAGTACATACAACAGTTACACAGTGAACAGATCAAAGGAGAGGTGTAAATCATTTGCATGCTTATGTGTAGACCCTCACCCACTCAGAGAGGGCAGGAGATCTGGCTGAGTAGATAAGTTAACCTAGTTGTTGCCCTCCTGGCTCCAGAGTAGTTAACATTAGTGTTCTAACTCCATTTCCACGCTAATTCATTTACTCAGGGCTCCTTTTTCCTCCTGTCTTCCCTGCTGTTCCTGGGGAGAGGTATATAAGTCTATGTCCAGCATTTACCATACAAACAGTTTAAAAAGAATTCAGTAACTAAAGAGTAATATGTGAGTGCTAGTAATCTAATAGGTAGCTTTAATTATGTACACAGATTTATCTAAAGTACTAATTTGACAAAGTAAAGAATGGGTTGTTTTGCTTAATTACTTACCTTGAGGTTAGGGACTTTCGAGATAGCAGAGTACAAAACAGCAGTATCTGCTAGTAAAATTGCTGTCCAGTGGACATTTAAGTAGACAGGCAAATAGAAAATGACTGTAAGGATAGTGAGGATCTGCATAAATAGGAATTCCACCCTCCCCACTGCCCTCCGACCCTCCAAAAATGTTTGAAGAGGAGACAAAGCAGAGATGCCCAAATTGGAAAACTGTACCCACACATTCCTCAGAGACCAATCTACAGCTGTTAACACCTTACCCTGCCTGGTGTGCAACAGGGTCAGCCTTGGTTCTCCATCTCTTCTTCACAAATATTTTCATTTCACCTTCCTGGCAATTTCTTGGTTGAGAAACTTTTCACCAGTGCTTACGTCGGTTATGAAAATAAATGAGGAAATTCTATTTTTGAAAAATTTCCCCAGTATTAGTTTTGTTAGAACACATATTCTGAAAAGTAGAGGATGACATGTGTAAAGGGAGTAGCTATCAATAAATGTAAATGGCTCTGAAAAAAATTTTGAAATACATTAATTACAGATCCAAAAAGTGCATTCGCCTTCAACTGAAGCACCTCAAAGGCACTCAAAATGCTGCTCAAACAAACACTGAAGATAACCACAGGTTTTCAGGACCACTTGCTTGTTTTGGCCTCTAAGCTTTATACCATTTAGTTCCTCGGGAATGCTTTCCTCCTGTTTTCTCCAAGTTTAAGTCCATGGCTTTCGTAGGCAAGCCATAGAGTTAACTGGGAAGAAAATGTCATTTCAGTGACTTGTTGACCTTGAGTCCCAACAATACAGGAGGTTCATTCCCAACTGTCTTGGGATAATGAAAACAAACATAAGTAGATTAAGTTTAAATAGCAACAGAAAAGAGATAATGGCTAAGGTTTCCCTGGATTAATGTTCTATGTAAGTCAGGTTGTAGCTGTAATTAAGCTGATGAAAATGGGGAGATCCAGTTCCCTTATTCTTTGGAATAACACCAAAAATTTTGAGCAGATATGCTGCAGAAACTGAACCCTGAGAAGAAGTGGTTAAGCAAATACACAGGGTTTCACAATATACTCTAGTAGAAAAGCATCAGAAAGCTTCAGAGGAGAAAATAATGTGTGTGTGTATAATTATGTATGAGTGTGTGCATGTGTATGTGTGTATAAGTACACGATACGGCACATAATGGAAAACCAGTTAAGCATATAAAAACTATATTCAAAATTCTCATATGGCTCTCCTGTGCCCGAATTAAGCTATTGTAACAGCAAGAAGAAACAGTACTGGTCACATCAGAAACCAGATGTCATTCAGTATCAGCACTCTCTCAGTACAGGAAGATCCAGACGTTCGGGCAACTATAGCTTCAGAACCCAGCCAACCACAAATTCCATAGCTGGGATATAAATGCATCAATTCACTCCCTCTCATTAACTTAACAGTCAGGCTTTGAACAATGCAACTGATTAACATATGCATTGTGCTCTTATGCTTTTGCCTCAAATTTTTACTTCTTCAGGGATCAAAGATATCTAAATACTTAGCAAACAAATGCTACTGTGAAACCATCTCTGTAGGATGTAGTGGCACCAGAAGTACCAGAATGATTTTTTTAATATTTCAAGGGAGCAACAAAAATGCTAAAGAAGACAAATCTACGAACCAGTTTTATTTTATTTGCATTTAACATGATTATACACATTCATGTGTCTAACAAGATCTGCACTTTACATTAAAAATACAGTACAATAACATTCAACATGAGGTACTTCATATGTATATATTTTTCCTTCATAAATAATGCTATAAGCTACTAAGTTCAAGCACACTGATGCACAAGTGGCTACAGCATCTTGAATTAGTTCAGCTTATTTAAACACCTTAAAAAACAAAAAAGACAGTTCAGTGCAATAATTATGTAGAAATTAGATCATTTACTTAAATACTATTTTAAGATATGCTTAAAGAATGTTACATTAGAACTGCTAGCCTAAATCCCCTTTATCCCCAGTATGAACAACGACAAACACTGCCAGATACATCGGGAAAAGCATCTACAGCATATTCTGTTTAATAACGTTGTGTTTATACACTAGAATTGCCTGCCTTGTTAGAACAATGGTTTTTAGTTTTAAAAGCTACAAAATTCAAAATTACCAAAGAAAATAAAGCAAGCACATTAGATTTCATTCCATTTTGTTGAAAATGCAGAAAGAAGAATAGGGTTTAGAATATAAAATTTCTTATTCTAAATACAATTTTCAAATTTTACCTGCAGCTCTTGGCACCAACCAATCAGATGGTGGATGTGTGTGTGTGTATATATATATACACACACACACACACATATATATATATATATTTTAGTAACTACATTAACATAAATCTGGTTCTCCTGTACCCAGTGTCACACACACACACACATATATATATATATATATTTTAGTAACTACATTAACATAAATCTGGTTCTCCTGTACCCAGTGTACAGGAGCTCACGCATGTGCACCAGCAGTTCCCCAGCGACGTGGAGGGCAGCTAGCTAACAGAGCGCTGATGGCGAGCGTAGCGAAGGAAGGATCTGTACTCTACACTGATGACACCCACAATCTGATGGGATGAAATGAGTGCTAAATAAAGTTCCTACTCTTCTGGCTTAAGACTGAGTGCCTTCTAATCAGGTCTACCAATTTGCATGGTAGCTATGAGTTACTGAAATGTTTAACCATAATTTAACAATAAAATCCTTTTCAGAAGTATGTTTTTTTAAATTGAAAACATACCTTTATTTCATCAATGCTTTGCCAAAACTACTAACTGTAATCTCCCTAATAAGAAATAATTGTTAGGTAATTTTGGAAAGTTGTCCTGGGAGTACTCATCTACAATCAGCAGTAACAGCTTTTGATCATCTATGCTAACAGACATAGGTAATGGCAAATGTGTTTAAAATATCTCCCGTAGTCCAGTGTTCTCCTCCTTCAGAGAAGCTGGCTGAAGGCAACGAGCCCACATCTGCAGGGAAGGAAGTGGCCCAGAAGCACTGTGAACAAATAAGAGCACTCACTCACTGGGCCCTGCTGGGCCAGCAGGGGGACCTTACTGTCCCACATCTCACTGCCAGGCAGAGAGGAGACAATTCCTGAGTCGGCAAACACACTTGCATGCACAAGAGCACGCACACACACACACCCCAGGACTAACCCCTAGCTCCAGACAGGCCAGTTTCAGGCTTGCAGAGCAGGAGAAGGAGGCGGCCAGGGACCACACTCTGGGTGGCGGGGGAGGCCATCTCAGGATCACACTGAGCAGAAAAGCTGCCCAGAAACACATGGATACTTTCACTGGACGTGAACACACTGGACACTGCCAGTGTTACAGGCACAAGTCATCACTGAGGAGAACATTTACTGAGCTTTTCCCTCCTTTGTTTACATTATCTGTGGACAAACGAGAGCTGGATGTGATACTGGTGCAGTGAATATTAGGTATAATCATATTTGTCGCTCCACACCATTTTTAAAAATTGTGCAGGTATACATTGGCACTTTAAGATGGCCAGAGGACAGATTCTAGCAGTCTAGGAACAGGACAGAATTATAATTAACAAAGAAGACAGTATATGGTCAGAATAGATTAGGTAAAGTATATTTCAGATTAAAAAAAATAAAATGACTAAAAGTATCTTATCACATTCACACATAGTGCTACAAAACTGTTACCTTACGCCATTCATCTAAAGAATGTTTGGTCCTCTTTGAATGGGGAAAAAGGGAATAGGAATTCTATATAGTATGACATAAAAGCAAGCAAATAGTAGGGATCAAAAGCTAAGTGGCAAGAAAAGTGTTTGCTTTTTTTTCAAAATGTGTATTCTAATGTGCCATTAATTAAACTATTTTTAGGATGGAAATTTTTAGGATTCCTTCTCAAACTGTTTTAGTTTAAATTAATAGGCCTGCAATTTTTCTATTGACAATAAAATTTTATAACTTAGTTTTTTCTAAAAGAAGTGTCTGTATCAGATATTTTGTCTTCTACACTAAAGGATATTAATCTCCTTCTAGTAGAAGTCATGGCATAAACATACACCCAATTCCTTATTTTCCTTTTTTACAATTGACTTTGAAGTGTTTAATATGTAACAATCTTATGATTTTAGGATTTTTTTTAAAAAAAAAAAAGCCCAGAAGCAACAAATTTAAAAGAAATAAAGAGCTAAACATGACTACTGTCTCTTTCAAAATTGTACACTGAGGTTTATCTGTGTTTTTGTTGGAGAGGGTTCTATTTAAAAATAATTCTTCTTATTTTAGACTATTTCTCTCTATTCATCAATAAAGTCCAAAAGGAAATTTGAGGTGATCAAAAATTTCTTCAGAGGAACAAAACTGGGAGGTTGGTATGGCACTTGGAAGAGCACAAAGTCTCCCCACGTGCACAGACGCAATTTTAAAAACCACAAAGCCTTAATAAGAACTTGGCTCTTTTAAGCACACAGTTAAAAGCAGAACGCTGCATTTTTGCCTGTACATAATTAAAAGGTTAAAAGTAATTAGAAACTGCCTACTGCTTCATTCATTACAAATTACCTGCGCTGATCGTATATCTGCAGATGAGCTAAAGCATCAAGCACATGGGGACCAGATGTGCACCTCGGAGCCCACACTGCTCCAGGAAGTGAGTTTTCAGGCATAGAATATAAGTTCGGGAATCTGCCCTCCCTGCACCCCAGTGCCGTTGGTGCTATCTGAGGAGCACTGAAACTGGACGGTCACTTTGCCACACTGAACTTCCGTCATGCCTTCTTGTCCGAAGTAGCTAAGTTCATTGCCATCCAGTATCACACTGGCTGTGTAGAAGGTGTCTGGCTCAATCTGCACTGGGTACTCAAACCACACAGGGAAGGTATTGCTGGAGCCATCTGAGAAGTACTTGCTCAAGTTCTGCCCCAGGACAACACCCTGCCGCTTGAGTTCAATCTTGGCACTATATTCTGCAGAGCCACAGCTGGAACCATACAGCCCAAAGCCAGCAATGAACACTCTTTTATCAACTGCAAACTGGATGCTGTCACAGCGACCTCTATAGCGCCACTGGTTGCTCCGATAGGCACATGACTGGAAACGGTGACAGCGCTGGGGGACAAGGCCCTTGCGGGCTTTACTCACAAACTGCAACTCGGGCTTTTTGGCTGCAGTATACCAGAGGAAGATGTCGTTGGTTTCATTAAGAGTTAATACTCCGGACTGTGCAGCGCCATTTGCAAAGTCATCGAGGGCCATTGTAGGTATGCGAATCAAGTAAAGTGCCTTTCCTAGGACCTTGCGTTTATTTTCAATGCTCAGAGCTAGATCTTGTCGCTGGCATTCTACTTCAGCCCAGTTAAGAGCTGCCTCAAAAACCACAATTTCTTTGGCATTCAGAGTTTCCCTGCGGAGGATACTTTCTAGAGTCTGGAAGTCGATATCACAGAATCCCTCAGACTTGAGCGCTAACTCAGCCTGGGCATCAATCACCTCCCAGCAACGCTGGGTCAGGTCTGGCTCCTCGAACAGGCAGCTCTGGGAGAGGAGCACGCAGGCGTTCTTGGCGCTTAGGCTGGTCTCCAGGAAATTAACGCAGGCTCTGGCAAGGTGAGGGACAATGTACTTTTTGGCAGCATAAAGAGTGGCCAGCACTGTGTCAGCAGCCAAGTCAATTTCATCACAATAGATGTATCTGAAAGAAAAGGCAAAACATGTAAACAGCTGGTTTACAAAATGAGTGCATTCAACAAGAAGATTCAACTACTTTCAAGTTTATTCCAAGAACTATGTGACAGTTATTAAACCATGTTTAGATATTAAAGAAACGTGAAATATACTCATCTAATTATTAATATTTTAACTCATTAGGAAGTCTGTATAATTAAAGACATTAACTTTGTGTACCCATGCTAGCCTATATTGTATAAGCTGCATTCAACAAAAACGGAAGACATTGAAACCGTATGAAAAGGAACTGCATATCAGAGAGTCAGTCAATATTAGGAAAAAAATAGCAAAATTCTATTATTTATCCTATATTATATTTAATCAAAAAATAGTCCCTCTATGTTGTAGGAGCAATATATATATATAGTTTTACTGTAATTTTTTTTTTCTAGATGAAACAAATACTTTTAATTCTGTTATGTCAGTAATGATTGCATCTTGATGCTTTTGGATTTTTCTTAAACATAAAATAAAACCTGAGATTAAATAAAATAGTTTTCAAGTACTTCCAGGTTCAATGGATTGTCAAATATGGACTTCAACGCTATCTCCCAGTTAACTTTACATGAAATCCAACAGACTTTGTATCTGTTTCTTTCTTTTTTTTTTTTTTAACTCTAAAACTCTTTCCCCTCCCATACAGGCATTCTGTCTACCTTCAGAATTAAAGAATACATTATTTCCAGACATATTTAATGAAAAGACAAAGTAGGGGAGCTTAAATATGACTACTTCTGTGCTCTGTGAACTATGGCTATTTCAGGAGATGAAACACTTCTTGATGTTTGGGAACAGTGGCAGTCTCTCAAAATGGTATGTAAAGGTGGACATTGTCTGCTTCTCTTAGATTGCTGTGGTTGACACAAGAGATAGTCAGTGAGAACTACTATGAAAAATGCATACTGATAACACTTAACTTTAAAATTCTTCTAGTTAAAGTATACAGCTACTTTATTGGAGGATTTACTTTAGTTACTATATTTCAACTTAGTGAAACACACATAACTCAGCAATAGTTTCTGTAAGAAGTACAAAAACACAAGGATGGCAATCAGAAAAATGTCCACAATCACAAACGGAACCTGCCTTTGCGCTCCTAGGAGGCCCTTCTCTTCTGAGAGGCTAAAGCAGATACCACCGGCAAGGCTGCGTGACAATAAACCTGCAGCTCAGTAACGCTCTGACCAAGAGCCAGGGCTGTGGGGAGGATCCTGGAGCATGATCAGCACTTTGTAGCTCCTACTCTGGACCTGTCGAGTGAGCAGGTGTCCCTTTTTCTTGACAACCCCCTTTCCAGGAATACTGGCTACTCATTCACAACATGGGAGTGAGGGAACCTGGCCACCACTATCTCAACTATGGCATGACTGCAAATGGTACCTCACTGCATTTTGAACCACTTTACATGGATTGCACGTATAATTTTAAAAAGCCATATCAGTATATACTCTAGGCAATACATCTGTGAGAAAATATACTTCTCAAATGACGAATCAAGTGACTCAGGTGAAATGTAATTCTTGCGATTCTTGTTCCCATTTGCTAATTAGGTACATATCTGGAACAACACAACACTCTACTTGACTGCAGTGAAGCCAAAATGCTGAACTAGTGCTAGCATTCTTACCGACATCATTGACACCACTGTCAAGTACACAGTGCTGACTTCATTTCACGGGTATGGTGGGGATGGGGCAGGGGTCCTCGTAGGTAAAACTGGTTGCTGATTTGGACCTCTACTAAAGGATCACAGAGGTTAAGAGTGGTGGATTAGTTTACGTTTTGGTACTTCACATTCTCATGCCTTTAATGTCCCTGTCTCCCAGTGTAAAAGTTCTAGTCTACAGCAATTAGATTTCAAAACTATACCACGAATAAAGAATGAAATACTTTTAAGTTCTAGAACAATTAGGTACATATCAGGAACAACACAACACTCTACTTGACTGCAGTGAAGCCAAAACGCTGAACTAGTGCTAGCATTCTTACCGACATCATTGACACCACTGTCAAGTACACAGTGCTGACTTCATTTCACGGGTATGGTGGGGATGGGGCAGGGGTCCTCGTAGGTAAAACTGGTTGCTGATTTGGACCTCTACTAAAGGATCACAGAGGTTAAGAGTGGTGGATTAGTTTACGTTTTGGTACTTCACATTCTCATGCCTTTAATGTCCCTGTCTCCCAGTGTAAAAGTTCTAGTCTACAGCAATTAGATTTCAAAACTATACCACGAATAAAGAATGAAATACTTTTAAGTTCTAGAACTAACTATAATACTTATTTTTCAGCAGGCAGCAAACAATATATAGCAACATTTTAACTATTTGTGGAAGTATTGTCTAACTTGACCCAGTGAATTATTTTTTCAACAAATATTTTATTTATTCCAGTGAACCGAAGTAGATAACCTCGAACTCTGGTATACTTTGATGTGGTAGAATAAGGATTATAAGGATTAAGAAAAATCATATAAATATTATTTAGAATAATAATTGGAGTTTAATTGCATGGTAGACTAGCACATTGTCTAGTACCAATACATGGTAAAGAAGCAGTTAGAATCTGCTTCTTTATTTACCTGGTTAACGTATATTAGAGTCTGCCAAAGATCCACTAGATATAAAACTTTTTTTTTTTTTTTTTTGACCGGTAAGGGGATCACAACCCTTGGCATGGTGTGGTCTGCACCACGCTCAGCCAGTGAGCCAACCGGCCCATCCTTATATGGGATCCGAACCCGCGGCCTCAGTGCTACCAGCGCCGCACTCTCCCGAGTGAGCCACGGGGCCGGCCCTATAAAACTATTTTTTATAAACACATAACATCTCTTACAGTTTTATATTTCTATATTACCAATTAAAGTATTTCTGTATAAATCCATATGCAAGTACAGAAAATTATTCCTATCTTTCAAAAATTCCTCCTCTAATATCAAATGCAAATGCTTCCTATCCTTGAGAAAGAGTACCTAATTTTATATGAGTATGTGTATGTATGCGTGCACAAAAATCAGATTATTTCAACAGATGATAAATTTTGCATGTCATAAGGAGACAATAACTCTTAGAAAACTTAGAAATTATTTAAATAAGGTACATAATTTCTGAAACTGTGAAATAAAAATATAATTTCTTTGAAGACTTCTTCACACACTATGCTTTCAGGGAGAACATGCTCTATTAGACAATGCCTACGGCAGAAAGTTATTTTTCTTTAATTATAAGTTGTTAAACATCAAATCGCTAAACATGTCACTTGCCCCCAAATCTTACATCAAGGTGTGATTATAAATGTCTGCATAACTTCACGGAGAACATGCTCTATTAGACAATGCCTACGGCAGAAAGTTATTTTTCTTTAATTATAAGTTGTTAAACATCAAATCGCTATACATGTCACTTGCCCCCAAATCTTACATCAAGGTGTGATTATAAATGTCTGCATAACTTCACATGCTTTCCACTAGAAGATGAACAGTAGTTTTCTCCAGAAGTATTTGCTAGGTAAGCAGCACCCTCTTTCTTCATCAGTCTCCTCTTCTGTTATGCAGAACTTACATTGAACTGTGAAACTAGCAGAGTACGAATACAGCATAAACAAATTCTTTCCAAACACACACATGCCACTTACTTGAGCATGGCAAGGAAAGCAGCAGGCTCGACATCTGGTATACGGATTTCATCTTTGTCTTCAGCAAGTTCTCCGTAAAACATCGCGTGGAACACAGAGCTCCCAACAGCTAAAACATACTGTGGAGAAAGGTAAACCTTATTTCATACACTAAATTGAAAGCATTTTCAGAAAATTAATCTGGAAAAACAATTCTAAGCAATCAGGTTTAGAGGACATAAAGTACCTAAACCTGCTCCACTGAAAAAGCCACAGTGCAGGGTATCTTGCCATGGAAGCATACGATGTTCGTGCAAAACATTCTCTATGCTGCTAATGACCTCAGGCTTTAGCAGATTAACACACAAGTCCCCTCATTACAAAATAAATAAAATCAAAACTTATCTAACTGATCTCTAAAAGAAGGGCAAACATATGACTTTCCTAACTGTCAGAACAACTTCCCAAGACTGGACTGTTAAGCAGTCATGTTTTTCTGTGAGATATGAAGCAGAGTAGGAGGAAACAAAGAAAAAAATGAAGTGTGGCCAAAGCCCCTTGGAGAGGGTATGCTTTCTCTGTAATAGAGTGAAACATGCACTGCCTGCCACCGGCAAGCTGCCCACACCAAGTTCCAGGCTTCAGGAGAGGGTCCCTCTCTGTAAATCTCAGGACAAAACCGGTAATGCAGCTGTTGCTTACTTTGTGTCCTGGCAACCGCTGAGTCCCACCTGGTGGCCCAACCACAAAATGTACATCTGCCATCAAATCATTATTGAACATCACCGCATTTCTATAAACAGAGGCAATGCATTAATTCACAGCAGCCAGCATGTTTAATACCCTTTTCCCCAACACACAAAACCCACAAAAGATCCCAAGCTAGGCGACAGTTCAGTAACTTCAAGGCAAGACAACAAAGGTTCTAACTAAACAACTGTGTTTGTAATCATTACAAACACATGGAAGTAACTAAAGTTTTTTTTTAAAAAAAGTTATACAAACTTTTCAAAAAGCTAAGGATAAATAAAAGGTATCTATCTTCTATGGCACATAAACACAACCCTGTCACTTAAATGTTACAGCTTGCAAAAACATTCTTATCTAAGAGGAAAACAGCTGTACTGTTTTGGAAAAAATACAAGGCAGTTTTCCATTACCGATAAAGCTTCTGGGAAAAGAGGAAACACAGATTTGTACAAAAATTACAGGTTGTACAAAAGCAGAAACTTCAACTCAGGAAAACTTTTAAAGTAAATACACTGGCCTGACACTTACCTTTCTCTAATGGTGGGATAAAGACCCTGCCAATTCGGAGCCGGTATAAGATTGTTGTTACTGAGATTCTGCTGGTGGTACTGCTGGACAGTGGTGCTGCTGGAGGTGGCTGGCTTTTTACGGGGGAATATATCAGCAGCCATCTTCTTCTTCTTTTTAGTCTTCAAGGTAATTATTTCATAACAAACTGGAGGCAACTTGCTGCTGCTGCTGCTGCTACTGCTGCTGCTCGTATTTGCTTTCTTTGAGCTTTTCTTGGACCTGTTCTTTACCGTCTCTGGAAGCATCAAGAAGAAGGTGAGACATTTCATGTTCTTTTCCTTGTCATCTACCATGAGTACAGTATGTCTCTCTTTATAGCTAGATATCCCAAATTGGTTTGAACATCAAGGAAAAGAGGCTAGCCTGAGCTTAGATGTTAACAGAAACCAACAAGCTGATATTTTGCTTCTTTCCTCAGCCAGGCAAGGTGACCTTTTCACTACGTCGAACAGAAACTGGCTTTAAGTTTTATCCAGTACCAGGTCTGTTAAATACATCCCCATGGTGATTCCTGTTTCTCTTATTTGCTCATAAAAATAACTGTTTCCTAGATCACCTGAAAAATGCTACACTGAGCGAAGATGACAGGCACAGAGCTGTAGCACTTGTTTTCTGAATTAGGTAGCAAGATGTGCTGGAGCTGCGCGGGTCTGTTCAGCCGGCTGAAGTTGTGTGGTGAATGGATCGGAGGAGAGTAGGTATTACAGCCCTGCAGATGGAGTCAGACAGCCAGTGCTCCGAGCCAATAGCTGAAGTCACCAATCATGATTGGACCAAGCAAAACAGTGACACCTATTGTAACATGCCTAGTGCTGATATTAAAGGAACAGCAGTTGCATTCTCTTGCCTACTGTATATTTAAATAAGATAAACATGAAATATATTTGAAAACAGGAAGAGAGCAGTTTATGCCCACAGATTTCTCTTCAGTAGACATACATTTTTATTTCTCCAGTTAAACAAGCAGGATCAATTAACAAAAGGTAGAGACAGATGTCTACTCTATATTTCTAGTAAAATCTTTTTCCCAGTAGCATTTAGTTTCAAATATTTCAAACAAAATCTTCCAATCTATAAAGCCAAAATAATACTAAACACATTTACTATAGTTTAAAGGTGACATGTTGTTTTTCTTCCTTTTTTCAGTCTCTCTGAATGCAAGTTATACTCTAGTGCAAAAGAAGAGAGCTGAGATGTGTTCAGTTTACCTCCCAATGTTTTCTAGCTCCTACAATGGTTTTTGACAGGAATCCCAGGTCACAAGATACTGTTAATTAGACTAAGTTTATACCAGTACACTTAGCTACACTAAAGCATAAGACAAATTTGAGATGTAAAAATAAGATTCAAATGAGACAAATCTGGCAATCAGTGTTTAAAGGCGGCAATTCACTAAAAATATGTCAGATGGGGCCTGTTCAGGATCTCAAAATCCAACTTAACTGTTATTGCTACATTTAGTCTTGTCATAATTTAAAAAAATATAACCCACAACTTCTAACATAGAACCAATAATACTATTCAAAATGATAAATGTTCTGATGCTGTCTCATTAAAATGCAAACAGGCTCTCTCTGCTTTGAATCAAAATATAAGCTACTTATATAATAAATGTGAATACTCTAACAATTTTTAGCTTTGGCAAGTAAAAAAAAAAAAAGAAAAAAAAATACCCAAACACCTGCTGTAGGTTCTACATATGCTTACCTACTTGCAAAAGAAAACTAATGAAGAGATTTCTTCTCCCCCCTGTCTATTTGGGTTACTCCCATTGGCTCAAAGCACAGCAGCCATTTGCTACCCCAGTCTTGTGCACCCTTCACAACCACAGCACTCCCTGTTGTACAACATATGTCTGAGTAATGACTGCCTGACAAAGAGAGGGCTCAGCAAATGGGAGCTATGATTGTTATTAACATAATTAATAATCTACTGAAGATAATACACACCAGAAATCAGTCTTTATATCCCTAGAGCCCTAAATCGCTAAGGTGAACCAAGGAATATCCTCTTTATTATCACTATTATTTTTCTTAAAACCATTTGCAAAACATACTTCGTAAGAGAACCACAATCCTTAGCACAGGGTTACCCATTTCCATTTTAGATGGGCCCTGAAGTGCTATAGTTGTATTTATTACAATTATTGTGTCCCCAAATTGCAAGGCTAATAAACAAACATATATATATACACACTTCCAAATCACCTTTAAACACACTTTAACACACAATGTTAGTGAAAGAGAAATCTAGAATCCAGTTTAAAAAGCACGTGGAGAAAGGCATGAAGAAGAAACAAATAAGCTTTTATTTGATCTAACTATCCAGCTATGATTAAGACCAAAGGACTTGTCTCCTGCTCAACTGCTATGAAACTTCCTGACCACTTCCATCCTAGGAAAGTCACCATGCCAAGCAGGACCTTCTGACTGGGATTAATCCCATACATATTTCTAACAAATCTAGTATCTAGCTTTTAAGGTCAGAAGCAATCAATGAGAATGGAAAAGAAAACCAGTCACTTTGAGGCAGACTAGTAATTGGCAGCTGGACACAAAATAGAAAAAACATAAATACAGATACAAGAACTTAGAAGGCTATGTGGTTTTGCATATAGCTCAACACCCATCACCAAGAAACCCTCCCCCAAACACGGCTCTTATACTACTGTTAAGGAAAAAAAATAAAATGCATGTAATAGTTTGAGAAAAAAAAATTATGTGATATTTTAGGAAATGCTCTTCCTGAAATTAAATATATCAGTTATTTGGAAAATTAAATTATGTAGAAGAGCTTTAAAATTCTGGTTAAATGAAGTAGTGCTAAATCTGAATCTCCTAGAACAGTGCTACAAAGAGGGGCATTATCTCTTCAGCCTACGTGGGGACCGAGGAGCAGGGCTGTTTATAATCAGACAAGGGAAAAATTATCTGAGAGCTATCTTTTCTTATCATTGTATGTACTAAAGCAGGTAATACAGGTTCTTACTACTGAAAGCGTAGTGCAAGGATCAGCAGCAGCATCTCCTAAAAACCTGTTAGAAATCCAGAATTTCAACCAGATTCTAGATTAGAATTTGCATTTCAACAAGATCCTTCATGCAATTCGTATGGCATATAAGTTTGAGAAAATCTCACATAGCTAACTGCGGACTGTTATAGTGTCTTCCCAATGACCTGTATCAACACTTGATGCCACATTTTGCATTCAACTACCGGATCAATGAACAAATAATTAAAAATAATTTAATTTGGTTTGGACATAAAACTTAACAACCCCTCATGTCCTATCTTCTTCTGAAATTCTTCTGAGGAGGCCCTAAATGTCAAAATTCTAGTATTGTGTGTGCATACAGCCAACTGAGAGAGTCCAAGCTATTTATCCATTCTCTGGATAAGAAGCTCAAGTCCACATTACAATGAATAATGACAGAGATAATTATAGTGGGAAAAATATAGGATTAAAAAATGCCAAGTGTGAAGCAGATGAACCACTTAATACAGTTGGCCCTCCATATCCACACCACGGGTTCCACATCCATTCCACATCCACATTTAACCAACCTCAGACTGCAAATATTAGGAGAAAAAATAAAAAATGACAATACAATCATAAAAAATAGTGCAAATAAAAAAAATACAGCATAACAACTACATTGTATTAGTTATTATAAGTAGTCTGGATATGATATAAAGTACACAGGAGGATTACACCATTTTTTATTAAGAGACTTGAACCATCTGTGGATTTTGGAACCCCTGGGGGAGTCCTGAAACCAATCCTCTGCTGATACTGAGAGATGACTGTATTTTTAAATAATCTACCTCACAATTCTATTTTAAAAAATTAGCACTGTATCATGGTAAAATTAGCAATCAAGTCATCTAGTTCAGTCCTGGTTAGGCCACTTAAAATAAAAAGAGGGGAGAGAAGATTTGAACAATTCATTTAGCCTTTGAAGGCTTCAGTTTTCTCAGCTATAAAATGAAGAGGTTTATCTAGAATATATGAGTGTTCCACAAACTTTACCCTCAACTCACAGTAGGAAATGCATTTTACATTCTGATCTAGTACTAACACACATAAACACACATATGCATACCAATCGAAAAAGATGGTTCACAAAACAGTACTTACTCTTAGCATGTTATGATGTACTCTGACATTTTCTATTTTATTTTATTTTTTCTTTTCTTTTTAATGTTGGTCTTGATTGATGCAATTGATCTCAAGATCACAGTTTAAGAAACACTGGTCTAGATTTTCTAAGGGCATTTAAGATTTAACACAGTAGGTTTCTTTTCTATAAATATTTGGACTAGGGACCACCACATGAAAGGGAAGGCAAGACTGCATTAACTTAATGAGGTCTGTGAAATCCCTCAAATTGCATGTAAAATTGTCAGGGTGCACTTATTTTTCTATAAAGAGAAACCATGGCTTTCATCTGTCCTTCTGAGTAATCCATGACCCAGAAACACAATAAAATGTTATGAAAATCTAAGACTGACTTGAATATTCAAAATTTTAGCATCACTTTGTTCTGTTTTCATTTCTATAGTCTACTACATTAAATACAAATTATGGCTTCTTTTCCCCCTTGATTAAATATAAATAGTTAAAACCCCATCTGTTGAGTCTTACCCAGAAACATCACCCACTGGGTTGAAGGGTAATAACAGATATCAGCCCGATATCTATTGTCAAATTTTACTTTACCTCTAAAATTTCTTTCCAACTAGGATTCTATCACTTGTTCCTACACTTCCTGAATTTTAGAGATGTTTCAAGAAATGGTTAATCTGCTCTAATGAAGTCAAGAAGCCAATAAATATTCCCAAAGGATGAGGGTACTTCAAAAAGTTCTTGGAAAAACAAAATTAAAAGATAATACACATCTTTCCAAAACTTTCTGAAGCACCTTCATACAACATGCTGATGCAGTATATCAGGTATCAGGCATACAAACTGTGAGCAAGATTAAGAACCAAGCTTAAAAGATTAGATAATAATAGTGGGTTTCAGTTGATTTTATAACTGCCAGAAAGTTGAGTCGCCGTTATTTATTTTCATTCAATTTCCAATAATAACAAAATTATCGACAGAATTTAAGCTCACTTAGATCATCATTTTCACCACTGGAGGGTTTGCCAACCATCCCACTTTTATTTAGTACAACCTTTATTTATTTATTTGTTTGTTTGTTAGTTAGTTAGTTAATTAGTTAGTTAGTTTGAGGACTTGAATGAGGTTTGGAACTGAAAGGAATCCTAGAAATCATTTAATAAAACTCTTATCTAACAGTACGGCAACCGGGTGTCCAGAAGTTTAAGGGGTTTGTGAAAAGTCCACAGTCAAGTGGCAGGGTGATGCCTGGACTACAAGGCACCTCTCCTGCTTGCTATGTTTTGTTTGTTACGCTCACTTTAGGTTTCACCCACAGTAATTACCCCACATCCTTATATAATGCTATATTTTTATATTTTCATCTAATTTAAAAGAAAGATGTATGTGCACAGTTTACAGAGATGAAAGCAATGAACATATACAGTCTGTACCCCTGCAGGGGCACACTACAGGAAGGAACACTGGAAGGGCACTTTCTGGAAAGAAATGGAGGACACTAACTTCAGTCATAAGGAAACTGCTCAAAGCAGAAAAGGCTCTCCAGGCAAAATTAAAGGTAGAAAACCAGCCATTTTCAGTTAATACCAAGTTCTATGTCAACAACTAACAATGGTGGCAACTTGTTTAACTTGTTCTCACTCTGAATTCCTTGTCTGGACTTGTATATAGTTTATTACAAGACACCTAAAAAGCTACAGCAGTGAGCTTAACTGAGGTTTAAACAAGGTAAGGTACTCTAAAGAAATACCTATCACTTCCAAAAATGACTGATAAAATTTAACAGAGCAGAGTAGTTTAACCTGAAAAGTTGTGATGGAATAGTGTTTTGTTTTTGCTTATTTTCCCCTTCAATACTGAGCAAAAGTTATGCTTCTGATTTGCAAGGTAAAAAGATAAGTGACAAAACGCTGACAGTCCGTATAGATAGCAGCTGCTGGAAAACAAACTATATGCTTTCTAAATTTGGAAAGAAATATGAAGTTAAGCATTGGCAGCATGGTAGAGTGAAAAAAGCAAGAGCCAATAAAAAGTGACCTGAAGGTGAGTTACTTAGTAGTATCTGTGAACCCCATTTTCCTCATCTGCCAAATGGGGTAATTATATCCAGCTCACCCCTCTCTGTTTTATTGTGAATGTAGGATTATGTTTGTGAAAGCACTTTGATAAAAACTGAAAACATTCCACAAAGGTTAAGCTCTCACTATTAGTAGCAATTGTACCCAAACTAGGAAACATCATTTGCGATAGTCATTAGAAACAGAAAAACCCTAAGATTAAGCTGGCTCCTTGTACTCCTCCAGGCTACACTGCTACTGACCTTTCACTGCATCTGCAGGGATGCTCTAGTCCCACCCATGCATGGGCCAAGCAGGTCCCAGGAGGCCATGAATCCTGCCCTGATTTTGCAGGGGAGGTTCAATAATCAAGATTCGTACTGTGTGTTGGTTGGGATCAGGTCCATACCCAATGTTTGAATCCTATACTGTTATTCCCAAATCTGCACATGGAACCCACACTCCAGGCCAGCTGTCCACTATCCATTTCAAACTTCCATGAGGTCACCTGCTGGCTGATGCCCTGCTGTACCTACCTGCTGAGTGAGCCCAAAGCTGCAAGCAGTCTGTCTAACTACCCAGCAATGTCTACACTCATTAAGTCAATTTGGCCTTTCTCAGCGATGACCTAGTTTAAATTCTAGCACCAAGGGTGATAACTAAGACAAGCATTTGAGCAAGGCATACTTCAGTGCTGTCTAGAAGGATAAGGTCAATTTCATTGAGTCACCTTTTTTTCACCATCTATAGCTCCAGTTAACCTTTAATAGTACTTCAAAGTTAGGGGAAAACGCCCAAAGATAGAATATGCCAATTCTCA